TTTACCCTCTCCATTGTCACCTAAAATAACTTATATGTCAAACCAATTTCTCTTTCTTTTCTTCTATATATGATGGACCCCAAATTAAAAAAAAAATTTGACAAAAATGTTCCCAGATGGACCTTACTCAGCAATCCTCAACGATCACATCAGGACACCTTAAGTCATCCCGCCCAAGCCCCCGATTGATCACCCTGAGTCGTCTTGGCCACACATGGGTCACTCCGCCCACCCCCGGGGTCCATAACCCCGGGTAACCTTAGTCACCCTAAGGTCACTCCGCCCACCCTTGGGCCACCTTGGCGACCTTGGGATCACTCTAGTCACTCCCCAACTCCATAAATCTAGGTCACCGTGGCCACCCTTGGAGTCTATAACCCCGGGTCACTCTGGCCAGCACTGGGGTCCATAACTGCAGGTTACCTTGCCCACTCTGAGGTCACTCTGACCACCCTTGGGGTTAGTCACCCAGGTTACCTAGCATCCTTGGCCACATACTCTCGTGACGTGTCTTATCCTTATCCCGAGCTCCTAGAGGAAGATACGTACCCCCCTTCATGATTACATTGGTGATCACATACTCTTTTATAAGGTGAGCCTTCATGTAATAGCCAGAGAGAATCTCCAACCATATTCATGATTTTCACCATGGTCACTTCTCTCGTCGCCACCGATGACCTCTCGACCACCTTTACTTAAAAATAGTGGTTCCCCTCTCACAATTTCCAATAATTTTTGTGGTCATTGACGCTAATAATTCGATCGGTGACCTCCTTGGTGATCATGAATATGCACTTTCTCACCTCCCATATGATGTCATCTCACCAAGGGGGACAACATTGTCCCCTCACAATACCAACTCAATTGCCCAAGATTACAAGTTCTCAAAGAATTTCCCAACAACTTCAATATCTACGAATAATACATTAACACATTCAAAAGGTATCTAATCACTGCCTAATCATCACTCCCCTCAACCTTCTCACCCAGAGGTGAAGAAATATAAAGAGTAGGGTTATTTTGATTGTTATTTACTTGTGTCTATTAGATTTAGTGACTCTATTGTTATTTTATCATATCCATTAAAATCCATGTGCTATCAACCCAATCATTGCACATAAATGTTGGGTGAGAGGTTAATTTTGTATGCTTATATTTTTTATTCACCTACTATCATTGCAATAATGGTTAATATTCTAAATTGGACTTCACGGTTAGGGGAGAGTTGTCACTCAACCATTACACTTAACGGTTGAGTGAAGTGTAATTATCCAAATGTTGCATTGGAGTTGGGTCAAGAGTCATCTCTCAACCATTGCACTAGAGTTTAGATAAAACTTCAATACCTTACAACAATGTAGTCAAAATCGAGTTTTAAAGTTATAAAGATAACGCTTTTACACTTCTAGGTCATCAAAATAATTCTACATAGAATCACGCTTTTCACTTAGTGTTTTCATCTTGGTGTTATCATAACAATTGGTGTCACCCCGACTGTCATAGACACCATTATCACTGTCAAAATATGCCCATGTGGGAAGCAAACGTAATCTTGGTGGAATTATCAGACAAAGATAATTCTATAAAAAAAATGACAATGAGAATGTTGAAAAAATAAAAGAAATGTCGAATACAATGTTATAGATTTAACAAGAATTATATATTTGGCTAGAACCCATATTGAGGTTTATTTGATGCCAAGATTGGTACATCCACTCAATGCATGAACAAAATTTGTTCTTTCTTTCCATTCATGAACAACATTGTTACATTATCTCCATTCAAATGGGCCAAGATTGATCTAATATCAGTTCAAATCCACTCCACTTAACGAGCTACGATTTGTTTGTTCTTTACATATGTGACTCACAATTGGTTGATCACCAACCGTATAATGAATTAACATTAGCTCAGAAACTCCCATGCATGGACCACTATCGACTCGAATCCACACTTCAAGTTCCACATGTCAAAATTGGTTCGATGTTTTAATAATACATATCTCAAAATCCAAAATTGATTTAGTCTATAAACTCACAAACTAAGATTGGTACATCATTTTTATCCATTGAAATACATGGATCAGAATTGGTTCATTCTCTTGCCAAGGGTTTCTGAGAGCCCAACAAAAAATGTGATTCTTGCCGTGAAGTCTCGTCATTAAATATTTACACTGAAAAAAGGGGGCAATTGATGAACCCCAAATTAAAAGATTTTAATTTGATGAAAATATTCCTAGATAGAACCTACTTAGCAACAATCACCGTTCACTCATAGACACTTGAGGTCATTCAGACCAAGCCTGCAGATGACCATGAGTTGCCTTGGCCACTTCGTGGTCACTCCGGCCAAGCTCGGGGTTGATCAACTTGGGCCACATCGGAGTCACTCCGACCACCATTAGGGTTCATAATCTTAGGTCACTCCGCCTACTTTAGGGGTCAATCACCACGGGCACCTCGGCCACCTCGGGGTCCATAACCCGGGTCACCTTACCCACCCTTGGGTCACTCCAGTGACCCCCGGTTCACCTTACCCACCCCATGATCAATCCGACCACTCCCGGGTTCAATAACTCCGAGTCACACTGTCGTCCTCGGGATCGGCCACCCTGGCCACCCTTGGGGCCTATAACCCCGGGTTACTTTGATCACCCAGGTCACTCTGGCAACCCCGGGTCACTCAGGCCACCCCTCGGTCAGTCACCCCAGGTCACCCAACACCCTTGGCCACATATTCCCATAATGTGTCTTCTCCTTACCCCCGAGATCCCATAGAAAGACACCTAACCCCATTCATGATTGCCGAGTGACTGCTATAAAAGCCCACCTTGTCTCCGATTAAGGTAAGCAAAAATCCTCATGCATAGACTCGTAAATTCCCACTATGATTAACAAAGATATTCACTTTTAACTTCCTTCCCTCATGTTTCTTTTTGAGACCATATTTCACTTTTCCAAACCACGGTCTAACTTGAGTTTCAGAGTTCAGAGAGCAACCATGCCAAGATTGGTCGACAGTCATTTTGCAAGAGATAACCAAACCTAACATCACGAGAGTAGTTCGAGGTGAAAGGTAACCGTCTACCAACCCTGGTGCCCAACATTAAAAAAAACTCAACGTCGCCTACAACCCTGAGATCAACGATATACTTTCTCTTTTTCTTCAACAATAACACAACTCCTAACAACCAATTTGTTAACAATACAATATGCCTTACAATCTCCTAACTGTCTATGCTCCTTTGTAGGTTCAAAATTCATGTCATCACTAACCACATCACATACATATGCACAAATGGATCTCGACCATATTGCAGATGGTGTCCTCTTCAAAGACCATAATTCCATAGTTGCTACACGATCATATATGTGGATGAGCTTTAATGAATGAAACTAAGAAAGGATTAGTCCAGCGTTTACTACCGGCATTAAGCAATCAATTGTACGGATCAAAATGAATACGCACCTAACTTCAGTGATCACTAAGACAAATACAATTCAGCCGACAAAGTCTTGGCCCTAAAAATCCTTATTCGTCGCCCTAATTAAGCTTATTTTACTTTAATGTCCTTAGTGCATTTATTTACAGGGAAAAAACTACAGCGGTGGCCGGGCTACCAAAGATCATGTCCATTTCAGCTGGGGACATGGAAGCAAGCTACATTGGGATTTATTAATATGGTTGCTTTTCATTGGGGACACAAAACTGTGGCATTTATTTGGACAAGCTATTATTGGAGACGAGGAAGAAGTTGACTACGTGCAAGGCGACGGTGGACGGGGAGATGGGGTTGAAAGCAACGGCAGAACGAAAGCCGGTTAGACTCTCCTCTTTCCTCTACCTGATTCCTGAACGATGGACGACGATGACTAGGACAAAAATGGCACCAAAATTTCGGCGTCAATTCTCCGACAACCGCCGCTGGAGCTGTGAGCAGGCGGCTGGGTCGCGTTTTGCAAGTAGGAGTTCAATTATACTTAAATCGAGTAATCGACTCCTTGTTCCCTTGCCCTTTTTTCGTTTGAATTAGCTTCGAACTCCGGCTACTCCGAGGTGGGAGAGAGACGAAAGTAAGGATAATATAAATTTTATTAAGGGGTAAATATGTCGATTTAGTGCGTTTTAGGGCGATAAAATTTGAATTTTAGGGCGACGAACAGCGATTCAGCTTGGGCAAATGCCAATTAGGGATGACAATGGGTCGGGTTGGGTCGGGTTTTGCCAAACCCAAACCCAAACCCATGGGTTTATCTTTGAAAAAAACCCGGGGTAAAACCCACCGGGTTTGAAAAACTCAAACCCAACCCAACCCGTTGGGTATCCGCGGGTTCATGGGTACCCACGGGTTTTGTCGTAAAAAATTTACAATTATAAGTTCTTATCAAAATTAAAGTCAAATATCAATCTCTCAATATAAATTATCCATATATAAAACACCATTCTAGAAAATTCAAGCAAATCACAAATTAACTATACAAATTGTTCAACACCAATCTAGAAAATTCATGAAAATTGAAGCAAATCACAAATTATCCATAAATAACATGTTTAATTGAAAGCTTCTTTCTTTCAATTAAGTTTCTTTAGTCTCCACTCCATAACATCAACTTCATTCTACACAATTAAAAAGAAAAAATTAGACATGTCTCCACAAACATAAATAAGAATAGTTGTTTAGAATATTAAATATACCGAAAAAATTAATTATATGAGTGGGCGGGTACCCACGGGCCGGGTTTACCTAAACCCAAACCCAACCCAACCCGGTGAATAGTGAACGGGTTTAAACCCAAACCCGGCCCAAAACCCGTCAACACGGATTTTATCCGCGTTGACCGGGTTGGGTCGGGTGGGTACCCGTGGGTTCGGGTTTTGTTGCCATCCTAATGCCAATCCTCCCAAATCATCATTTTCCCACCACCACACAGCCCAAAAGGTATTTTACTATTTTTACGTCCAAGTGGGCGAAGGAGAAAGAATAATCTTCTCTCTTTCCACTTCAATCCAATTTCCTTTCCTTTTCTCAACTAAATATGCTTTTCTCCTCCCACTCAGGTTTGCGGCCAACAATTTCCAACCCCCATCCCCTGTTCTTCTTCACTATTCTCTCTTAGGAAAGAATGTGATTATCGTTTCAATTCTTCCCCATTTCTTTACTCCCTGTGGGTCATGGCTGCTTGAGAGCCTAATTCCCTCCCCCACTGTTCTGTAATCGGTTGGTGAAACTTGAATGAAATTCCTTCGCTTCAGAAATTCGGATTAGTGAGAGCTGGTCATAATTAGTCCCACAGTTCACCCAACTCACTGTTGTCGTCATAAATTCCATCCTAGAATACTCCAGGAGTCAACTTCTCTTAGTCCTCGTGTGATTACTTAGTACATTAGAGCTGCTAGCTTGACTTTTCCCTCTCTTGACGACTCTAAATCTTTGGCATGGGCAATACCGCTGCTTCCTTTATTGAGGAAAGACTCAATCTTTCTACTCTTTGGGTCGTACCCATCATTGTCTCGGTATCTCCACCCCCTGCTGCTAAATTTACCAGCTTGGTTGTTTAGGAACCGAGTTTTTGTCCAACTGTATCTGAGTTTTATACAACCTTAGCTCTCAAAGCTAGCAGCTTTATCCGGAATTTTGGTAGTGCAGACCAGGTGTTTGTGAAAATGGAGCTGGGTATTAGAGCTACAATACTTGTTCTCGTGTGGGTGGTCCTTAATTCTGGCTTAGTTGATAGTCAGAGGCCGGCGCTTGTGAACGTTGGTGCGGTTTTTACTTTTGAGTCCGTCATTGGGAGAGCTGCAAGGCCAGCCATAGAGGCAGCACTTGCTGATGTTAATAAGGATACGAAGGTTCTTAATGGGACCAAGCTCAATTTGATGATGGAGGATGCTAATTGCAGTGTCTTCTTTGGCTCCGTTGTAGGTAACCTTCAATTGAACGCTCTCTTTCTGTTGGTTTATGGCTATCATTTTTTTAGTTGACACCACTTTGTTGTAACTCTTCTTTCTGGTTCTAAAAGCATCTTATTAACCGGTGGAAAATTTAAGTGTATTCTTTGTGCAATTGATTGGGTTTTCATGGTTCCACACTCCCATTTTCCTGTCCATCTTTTTTTGTTATAGTTTGTTAATTCATCTGCTCTTGAACATACAATCAAGGACACGACTTTGACGTTTCTCTGTGCTTTTCATTAGTGTTCTTGCTTGTGGCTACTTCCTCTGATTTTCAACTTTCCTTCTTTCAGCTCTTCGCATGATAGAGAGACAAGTGGTTGCCATAATCGGTCCACAATCATCAGGAATAGCTCATATGATTTCTGAAGTTGCAAATGGTCTACAAGTGCCTCTTATTTCATATGCTGCTACTGATCCAACTCTCTCTGCCCTTCAATTCCCCTATTTTGTACGAACAACACTAAGTGATTCTTATCAGATGGCTGCCTTGGCTGATTTAGTTGAATTCTATGAGTGGAAAGAGGTCATTGTGATCTTTACAGACAATGACCACGGCAGAAATGGGGTAGCTGCCCTGGAGGATCAACTGAATCAAAGAATGATAAAGATTGCTTCCAAGAAGCGGTTAAGAGCCCGGTTCACTGACAATGATGTCATGGATGTCCTCAACAACACAAAGTTACTTGGTCCTCGTGTTTACATCGTTCATTCTTATCAAGATCCTGACTTGAGAATCTTCGAGGCGGCCCAGAAGCTTCAAATGATGACAACCAATTTTGTATGGCTTGCAACAGATTGGCTAGCTACTACCTTGGATTCATTCACTCCAGCACAGCGATCTGCTCTCAGTCTTCTTCAAGGGGTTGTTGGGCTTCGTCAACATACCCCCGAGTCAAACCAGAAGAATACTTTCATGTCTCGGTGGAAGGAAATGCAAAGAAAGGGATTAGTAACTACAGAGCTGAATTCCTATGCGCTGCAGGCTTATGATACTGTTTGGCTACTTGCATATGCAATCGATAGGTTTATCAATGAAGCTGGCAACTTCACTTTCTCTGCCAGAGATAGACTTGTTGATGAAGATAAATCTCACTTCCAGCTGGGGCAGCTTAAAGTTTTCAATGGTGGAGCTGATTTGCTTAAAATCATACTGCAGATGAATTTCACCGGTTTAAGTGGTCAAGTTCGGTTTAAATCTGGACGAAAAGTATTGAACCGTGGTTACGATGTCATTAATATTAACGACATGTCTATTCGGACAGTCGGGTTCTGGGCGAATACTTCTGGATTTTCGCTTGTACCTCCAGAAGATCGCAGAGAAGAAAGTAGCTATACTCGGCTAAATATGGAGCTTCGGAGCGTCACCTGGCCTGGTGGGAAAACCGAAAAACCTCGTGGCTGGGTGATTGCTAACAATGAAAAGCCTCTGAGAATCGGAGTGCCCAACAGAACAAGCTTTGTTGATTTTGTTACAGAAGTTCCGCCTAATAGCCATAAAATTGAAGGATACTGTATAGATGTGTTTCTGGAAGCAAGGAAATTAGTGTCATATGATGTACCTTACACATTTGTGCCTTTCGGGGATGGCCATTCGAACCCTAGCTACGATGACCTTGTAAGCAAAGTTGCAGGAAATGTAAGTGCGTATAGTGAACATATTTTGGTGCATTTTCATTTGCACGTTCTTTGCTTACTTTGAGAACAAGCATAAAGTTCAGTCTTATATTTGGTGTTCAGCTGTTTGATGCAGCTGTTGGGGACATTGCAATAGTGACGAACCGAACAAAGATAGTAGACTTCTCTCAACCTTATGTGGCTACAGGCCTCGTGGTTGTGGCTCCAGTCAGAAACTTGAAAGCAAATGCATGGGTTTTTCTTAAGCCATTTACCTGGGAGATGTGGTGCGTTACAGCAGCTTCTTTTCTCATTATTGCTGTGGTCATTTGGTTACTCGAGCATCGTGTGAATGATGATTTCAGAGGTCCTCCCAAACGTCAGATCGTGACGATGCTCATGTAAGCTTCATTTAAGAATCTATTTCAAAGTAATGCCTTTGTCTGCTTAAATTTCCTTAGTTGTTGATTCATATGGGCACCCAACATACTAAAAACTAACTCACTCAACCTTGACTATGGCAGGTTCAGCTTCTCTACTCTGTTCAAGACAAATCGTGAGTCTTGCTTCTAATGGCTTCAGCTCCTTTTCTTCCTAGCTGACATATGATCTTTGGCTTTTCTTAGTTACAAATTAGCGATGAAATTCAGAAGCTCAGCTAGTACTTTGACACTTGCTTCATTTATGTTAAGGCTCAAAATGACAACATGAAATAGATACAAGTCATCCTGATGAATGTAGTTGAGCCAGATATGGTTTCTTGCATGAATAATGTTCTTACACGATGGAAGTCAGTTTTGGCTTTCTGGTTATCTAGAAACTGGTTAAAGGAGGTTAAATGGTATTGCTTATCCGGAAACTGCTATAAATGCATCAGTTATATCTTATTGAGTTTTGGTTATAGGATTGTAATCCGGTAACGTAACAGCAAACTGTGTAATAACCGACTATCGTAAATAAATGGTTTTGGTTATATATTGCCTGGTTTGGTTGGCCAAACCAATTAAGCACCTGTTAGTTACATCTTCAAATGAACTTGTCATTTCAGAACTGATTAAGTTTCTGACGCTTTTATAGTCGATGCCTGTTCATCCATCATCAGAAATCACCATACACATGGAAGTTCTTTGTACCCTGTTTAAGTTTGACTAACTTTTTTTTACTGTGGACATGATTGCAGAGGAAACAACCAGAAGTCCCCTTGGAAAGATGGTCATGGTAGTATGGCTCTTCTTACTGATGGTGGTAACTGCAAGCTACACAGCCAGTTTGACTTCCATCCTCACAGTTCAACAGCTTTCATCACCCATTACAGGAATCGATAGCTTGGTTGCAAGTAATTTGCCTGTAGGATACCAAGTTGGTTCATTTGCTTATGGCTATCTATCAGAAACTCTCCATGTAGCACCATCTAGGCTCAAACGTCTGCACAACCCTGAAGAGTATGAGGCTGCATTGAGGAAAGGACCTAGTAATGGTGGAGTTGCAGCAATAGTAGATGAGCTTCCATATGTAGAACTGTTCCTTGCAAATCGAACAGATTTCGGAATCATTGGCCAAGCTTTCACCAGGGCTGGATGGGGCTTTGTAAGTGTACCTTGTCTTCCAAAAAACAAGTTTCCATGCATCATGAGTGTGTTTATTTTACATTCTGATAAAAATATAAGTGACATTTTCTTTTCAAGGTTTTACTAGTAGTGAAGTAAAAATGTCAGGTTGTTTTTTAGAAAAAAATTAAGTTGATGGGTATGGGATATCTTTTGTTATTATAAAAATTGATGGGATGACAGTTTGTTTAATAATAAGCAACAGGTGAGTTTGTAGAATGATCATTCCTAACATAAGACTTGGAACATATCTTGAGAATAGCTTAGTGAGTTTTTATTAGTGAGGCTATTTTCAGATTTGAATAATCTGTGGAACTTGAGATAAATAGTACTTTTACAAGAGTTGTATTGACAAAGTGTTTTTTCAATTTCAAGACAACCGGCGAAACTCAAACTTGTCTTACTAAACCATGCCTTTCTCACAGTACACTCACCTGTCTAATTATCTCTCCATTGATTGAATTCTGAATCAGGCATTTCAGAAAGATTCTCCACTCGCCATCGACATTTCCACAGCAATCCTGAAGCTTTCAGAGAGCGGAGAGCTTCAGGAAATCCATGATAGGTGGTTCTGTAAGAAGGGATGCCCTGGAGAGCATCAGAGGAAAAGCGAGCCTAACCAACTCCATTTGATTAGCTTCTGGGGGCTATACCTTCTCTGTGGCATTGTCACTCTGGCTGCATTGCTAATATTCATGATAAAGATGATTCGGCAATTCGCTATCTACAAACATAGAGAGTTGCAGAATGCTACGCCATCTGATATCTCGACAACTACCCGTTGTTGTGAGGTAGCCTACAACTTCTTCGACTTCATCGACGAGAAAGAAGAAGCCATCAAGAAAATGTTTAAAGAATGCGAGCATCATCAACCGCAGGTTGTCGTCATGGAAAGATAGCGATTTGTTGGAGTAACCAAGTAGAATGAGAAAAGATTGCTAGTTATTACAGTCTGACTACTTATACATAATCTTGGAGGTGTAAGAAAAAGGGAGAAATTGTACAAAAGGAAATAGATGGGGCATGTTTGGCAAGTATAGATCACCTAATGAATTTTATTTTTCTTAATGATAAAGAAATGAGAAATTTCCATTATTTGGGTGATCTTGTGCGAAAGAACTAGCTCATTTTCATGGAAATGGAACTTTATGTACATTCTGTCTTGTAGCATTGCAGTTCTTGTGGCTATTATTGCAGAGAGTCACAATCTTGGTGAAGCCAAAACAGAAAGGTAGGGGGCAAGAGAGCAAAAGCTGACCCTCGTTGTGGGGCTTCTGAATTTCACTGTAAGACGCAGCTACATCCATTCATGACTCAACTCAATCCAAAGTTGTGATAATGTGCACAGGTGAACTTGACAGGATCAAAGCTTTTTTTTTTTTACCAGTTGGTACATTTTGATTGTTTTCCTAAATTGCTGCAGTTTTTTGCTGTCTCCATCAATGAAGGTTGTATCCTTTTTAACCATTAAGTTGATGTCTGTTGGGTCCACTTTTAAAGCAGTCATAGTGTCCAATTTTGCACATTGCTGGGGAAGGGGGTAAAATCAAGGTAAATTCTTTTCAGTTTTGCCAGTTCTGTCCGTATCAGGACAAAATACACCAGCAACAATTAATTTGATCCTTTGATAATTACCATACTGTCATTTCCTTTGATCATTGATTTCCTCTACTGGGGAATATGCTTTGATCCTTCTATGCCGGGGCTGGCCAATGGCCTTGGGTTTAATATGAAAGCTCTCAGTCTCAACAAATCAACATCTCAGGATGTTTCAAACCAAAAGACCCATCACCTCTCCTACCCTACATTTGAAATTTCGATTTTGGCTGATTCTGTACAGTCCTTTCCCTCTAAAAACTAAACTAAAATCTTTTGGGAGCAAGATATCTTGTTTTCTGCTGCTTAATGTTTGTGACACCACACTGGTCGATTGTACTGGTTAAACTATATACCCGTGACCAAACTGGTAAGATTCTATTACGGTTTTGCTATTATATCTTCATATGTTCATACTACCTACAATTATCATGCAAGAAAGGACTCCTTTCTCATATACAATTACTTAGACAAACTAGGTTTTGCTGCTAACCCTGCAGAAAGCAACAGGTCACATTTGACAGGAACTCAGGAAGTGTATGTCCCATCTTATTGACAGACAAAAACCCATATAATAAAAAATCAACTAGTACATCCAAACTGATAACTAACATTGATGCTGATCCATCTCCCTTCCCTCTCCTTTCTGTGGCTTCAAGGCCTCTCCTTTCTTGCTCCATGGCTTTATGCTAAGGAGAATGAATGGTTTCCCTTTTTTGTTCACTCTGAGAAAAAACTTAATATTGTGTACCCTTTTATGTATATGCCAGGTTAATATGAACCTTTGAGGTCACCATTGATTAGAGGCCTCAAATACTGCTGTGTTGTCGACAGATCCATTTGTGGTTATTGGTGAAGCTTATGGAGCCAGAATCTCTCAAAACTCTTCACTTGGCCATCTTACTTTAATTGGGCAGCAGTATTCTTAATGTGATTTGTTGCTCTCTGCCATGGATTTACAGTCACAGCCGCCTAAGGTTAGGTATTTGATTACTTCAACATTAAGACAAATACATAAGATCGAGAATTAAAGTGTGTAGAAAGGAGCAGAGAGCAACTGTTCTTTTGGAAGGAGACAAAGAAACTTCTCATAAAGGTTTATGGGACCTCCAGCCTTACCCTTATTTCCTACATTTCTAAGCTTGACTATGTCAAAGTGACTGTTTTCCCTCCTGCAAAGTCCAAACACAACGCATCTCTTAGGACCAAAAAACCCAGATCTGAAATCTCCATACCCTCTTTGGGGAGTTTGCTTCATTAACAGGGTTTGCATGTTACACAAAAGAATTCAGTACTGTTATTGTAACACTGTCAAAAATATCTGATGACCAGCACACATTAAGATTCCTAATTCCTTACTTCTCGTCAGCTAATACCCACCAAAGATTTCCTGTTAACAACGTATTCCTTGGTTCTTTTTAGTTTCTTCTGTCTGGTGTGTTGTTTTGGAACACCAACCCACCTATCCCTTCACGGCTTCACATGGATCAGTTCCAGACTCATGTGACCTATCCCTTCACATGGTGTGTTGTTATGGTCACTGCCATGAAATAGGAGCCTAAACTCATGTTTGTTAATGATGATTCATGTGTGATATAATCTAGCAGCCTATTGCAGAATAGGGAAATTACAAGGACCAACCTAGGATTGAACTGGATCCAATGAATCCAAAGTCTTCCCAGAGAAGAGGATGAAACTTGACAAAAATGGAAAATAGAAATTAAATGAAACAATCCCCCGAAAGATGTTTAATGCTAGGGGGACCCTACAGAGTATATTGGGTGTGATTTTCCTCTGCAAGTTGGCTGGCTGCTAATTAGCCACTCACCAAACTATGTATGACATTATTACATATATTACTCATCAGTTCATCACATTAACTACTTAATTATTCTTATTATCTGTGATTAATTAGTGGTTTCCTCCTAATGATGTCAACCCTCATCCCCTTCCACAAATTCAAATTCTTTATTCCGAGTTTCTGACTCTGTGAACACAATAATGTTCCTCTTCCCCTTGTCAAACATTCAACTGGTTCATATTAGAAGACACTAATCTCCATTCTCCACTAGGATATTACAATATTACTATGTGGGCCACATACATAGGTCAATGGAATAGTAATCTTGTATGAAGCAAGCAAATGCCCACATGTTTCAGAGTCCCTGGACCCACTTGTCACTTCATCCCATTTTCAGACATCTTTGCCAAATAATTGAGTCATCACCAATTCATTTGGTCCTCAGCTCATCTATGCTGACGCTGATGACGTTATCCAAGAAGTTCAAAGGATGGGTTGGTCACAGGAATAAACATAAAGTAACATTCTTTCTTCTTCAGTCTTCACTCTCGATTTTGCTGTACAAAACTTGGTAAGAGTGACATGTAACTAATGCCTCTTTGCTACAAGATGCTAAGACTAAAACCAGTAGTAGCATGTAACATGTTTTAGGTACAGTAGGGCATGTAACATGTTTTAGGTACAGTAGGCAGTAGCACAGAGAATCATTCTTTGCTTGAGCTTGCAGACACTGTTTTCAAGCTTTAACTATTCAGTATTCACTACAACTTTCTGGACTCAAAGCAAAGCATAGGCACTTCCTCAGGGCCATCCCCTTTGGCCTTTCCATAGATGGGATTGGACTTTAAGCCACTCATAAGCTTCAATAATGACCTTACACTTCCCCAACTATAGCATACAGACTTTCCTGTAATCCCCAGTCTCTCTCTCTCTCTCTAACTATACCTCATTTACTCCATGTCTGTGGGTCAGATGGTATGGCTTTTCCTCCTTTCTCCACCTTTTTTTTTACTAGAGGGGTCTACTTAAACAGTTAAACTGTTGAACATGGAGATTGGCTCCAACAACTTGTTGTGAAAAGTTCTTTCTTTTTGTTGTATCTCTCCTAGAAATTTGACCCAATTATGCTAAAATAATGTCCAAAAATTAATAAACAAAAATTTCAGAGTGGAATGGAATCCTTTTGGATGGTTTTCTGTGTACAAGTCTTTCTAGCAATATTTTAAGACTTGGGTTTTGGCTGGATGTGGATTCTCTCTGCTTGGGGTTGAGGGGGGAGGGGTTTTTGAGGGATTCCCTCTTATTCTGAGAGGGATAAATCTTACTGCTTTGTCCTCTTAGAGAAAGCTCTCATATCTCTCACCTGTAAACTCCCCTAAAGGTAGATTCTTGCAAAAAAGTTTGGTGTCAGCAATGTATTCCCCAACCCACATATGCAGATTACTTGTTTGCAAGGCTTTCCAGCTGAGTTCCTTAGCTGCTCATGTTCATCCCATCTCATTTCCTTTCCAGGAGGCCTCTATTATTATATGGGTGAATAAGAAGATGGTGGTCTGAAACCAAAAATTGAGCTCGTTTTCAAGTCTTCCGTCTAATTTCTCCCAATGGCAAGAAAGGTGCCGATGCTTCTGCTGATTCTTGGGGTTTGCTTGCTGCCAATGGAAGTTTTGGGTGCTGGAAATGCCTCTTCTTCATCAAGGCCAAAGACGGTGAATTTAGGAGCCCTCTTCACTTCTGATTCAGTGATTGGTAGAGCAGCCAGGCCAGCAATCTCAGCTGCAATTGATGATGTCAATTCTGATCCCACCATCCTCTCAGGAACCAAGTTGAACCTTCTCTTCCATGACACTAATTGCAGCGGATTTCTTGGGACTGTTGAAGGTATATTACAGAATCCCCGGCTTCTTTTCTCTTCATAGCTCTTTTTACTACTTATCTCAAGCAACAATAGCCTTTTTACTTACAAAATCAAAACAAATGAAACTGGACAAATGAGCCCTTTCCTTTATCTGGGATTTGGGAATTTTTACTATTTCCCCTCACACTTACGCTTTATGCATCAGTTTTGTAATCAAGAATGAACTTTTTGAACAACAAGGGCAAGTGTATGTGAGAATAGTGACTTCATCATGCTGTTTGCTTTGTAGCTTTGCAGCTGATGGAAAATGATGTGGTGGCAGTAATTGGGCCACAGTCTTCGGGGATAGCTCATGTGATCTCCCATGTAGTCAATGAACTCCATGTTCCATTACTTTCATTTGCAGCAACCGATCCAACCCTAGCAGCACTCCAATACCCATACTTCATTAGAACTACACAGAGTGACTACTTCCAAATGTATGCAATTGCTGATCTGGTCACATACTTTGGGTGGAGGGAAGTCATTGCCATATTTGTTGATGATGATTATGGAAGGAGTGGAGTGTCTGTGCTAGGAGATGCCTTGGCGAAGAAGCGAGCCAAGATCTCTTACAAGGCTGCCATCACCCCAGGAGGCAGTCAAAGTACAATCAAAGACAGATTGGTTGAGGTTAACCTATTGGAATCGAGGGTCTACATTGTCCATGTGAATCCTGATTCAGGGCTTTCCATTTTCTCAGAAGCCAAGAATCTTGGCATGATGAGCAAAGGGTATGTGTGGATCACTACAGACTGGCTTGCTTCTGTATTGGATTCTATGGTGCCACCGGATGCCGATACAATGAGCCTTCTCCAAGGGGTTGTGTCGTTCAGGCACCACACTCCAGATACCGACCTCAAGAAGAAGTTCATGAAAAGATGGAATGATGGTCTGAAATACAAGAAACCAGGACCAGCATCGTTTAATTCCTATGCACTCTATGCTTATGACTCTGTGTGGCTTGCTGCACAAGCACTTGAGACGTTCTTAAACAGTAATGGGACTATTTCTTACTCGAATGATCCACAATTACGCGATGTCAATGGAAGCACATTGCATTTGTCATCTCTTAGAGTGTTTAATGGAGGCCAGAAGTACCTTGACACACTGCTGTCTACAAACTTCATTGGTTTGAGTGGTGAAGTCCAGTTTGATTCTGATAAGAACTTTATTCACCCTGCTTACGATGTGCTCAATATAGGAGGGAATTCTTTCAGGAGAGTTGGGTACTGGTCCAATCACTCAGGTCTATCCACTGTCACTCCTGAGACTCTCTATGGGAAGCCTGCGAATGGTTCTTTGAATTCCAATTCTAAGAGTGATGAGCATCTGTACAGCATCATCTGGCCTGGTGAAACCTCTGACACACCAAGAGGTTGGGTTTTTCCTAACAATGGGAAGCCACTGAGGATTGCAGTTCCAGATCGAAGGAGTTACTTGGCGTTTGTGGCGAAGGACAAGAACCCTCCTGGGGTTAGAGGGTACTGCATTGATGTGTTTGAAGCTGCTATCAACTTGTTGCCATATCCTGTTCCCAGGACTTATATGTTGTATGGAGGTGGGAAAAGAAATCCTTCCTACAATGATCTTGTCAATGCAGTTGCTCTTAACGTAAGTACGAACTTGCATTTGCAGTTTTCACTCTTAGATGGTCTGCCTTTTCTTTAGACATTGGTTATATGAAAAATTGAGTATTAAGTTCTCAATTAGAACTTTATAGTCACTAATAAGTTTAAAAGTCCAAATCCTAGTGAAAATTGGACTTCCATAGTTGACTTAAACACAAATTATGAGATATATGTGATTTTCAAGTCCACTGGAGGAGCTGCTGACTGAGAGGGGAATGACATAACTTAGAGAAGCTTTTACAAATTCAAAACCTTTAGTGATTGAAATTAACTATATTGGTTTCCTCTGATGTTTTGTTTTGTTTTGTTATGTTCTTTTCGCAGATTGTTACAAGATTGATTGTGAATTGCATTGTAGCTCGAGTTATTTGGTTGAGTAGCTCCTTTACATAGCAATAGAGTATTTGTTATCCGGTTTTCATCTTAGTAGTTAAACTGTTGGAACAATACGAAATGAAATAGCAAAAATCTGCAATAAACTCGAGTTAATGAGATGAATTGACTTACATAATGATTTTGGGTACCTCCATGCCTTTAGGAATATGATGCAGCAGTAGGGGACGTGACAATAGTGACGAACAGAACAAAGATAGTGGATTTCACGCAGCCATACATGGAGTCAGGGCTGGTAGTGGTGGTGCCAATGAAGCAAGCCAAATCCAGCCCCTGGGCATTCATGAAGCCATTCACCATCCAGATGTGGTGTGTCACCGGCGCTTTCTTCCTCTTCGTCGGAGCCGTGGTCTGGATCCTCGAGCACCGCATCAACCACGAGTTCCGCGGCCCTCCTAGCCAGCAGCTCATCACCATTTTCTGGTAAGTTTTTAGTTTGTTCTCCACATATGAATCTCCAAAGTGTCACTTCTGTAATTGTGAGCCCTGATGTTTTCTATTGAATCCCTGGTGAACCCACTTGCAGGTTTAGCTTCTCAACCATGTTCTTCTCGCATAGTAAGTAATGAAGAGTTCAAGCATATTATTATGAAATCTGTTCTGTATTATGTTTCCTTTCCTTGTTCTTGGGTAACTTGCAGGTTTAGCTTCTTGTTGTATGGCAAACTAGTCAATGAACTTTTTAATTTTGTCGTAAAGGGGAGAACACGGTGAGCACATTGGGACGTTTGGTGTTGATCATATGGCTGTTCGTCGTCCTGATCATCAATTCCAGCTACACGGCCAGCCTGACGTCGATCCTGACCGTCCAGCAGCTGACTTCAAGAATTGAAGGAATCGACAGCTTGATCGCCAGCACCGAGCCCATTGGAGTCCAGGACGGTTCGTTTGCGTGGAATTACTTGGTCGATGAGCTCAACATTGCAGCTTCCAGGCTCGTCACACTGAAAACCCAGGAAGATTACTCCACCGCACTTGCCAAGGGACCCAAAGCCGGCGGAGTGGCCGCCATCGTCGACGAGCTTCCTTACGTCGAGCTCTTCTTGTCCAGCGCCAATTGCCAGTTCAGGATCGTCGGGCAGGAGTTCACCAAGAGCGGCTGGGGATTTGTAAGTTCTTATCCCCCTTTTAATTGAAAATGTGACGTCTTAATCTGTCCTTAATTTGCTCCTCTTCCGGCGACGGACGGCAGGCGTTTCAGAGAGACTCCCCACTGGCCGTCGACCTCTCGACGGCAATCCTCCAACTCTCCGAGAACGGCGACCTCCAGAAGATCCACAACAAATGGCTGCTCCACAGTGAGTGCACCGACTCGCTCAACCCGGTAGACGAGAACCGCCTCTCGCTCAGCAGCTTCTGGGGGCTCTTCTTGATCTGCGGCCTCTCCTGCCTCCTCGCCCTCCTCATCTTCTCCTGCCGGGTATACGGCCAGTACAGCAGATTCGCGCCCCACGAAGGCGGCGGAGACGGCGACGGTGAGACGGAGGACATTCGGCCGGCGACGAGGACGCCGCGGCGGTCGTTGAGGACGACGAGCTTCAAGGACTTGATAGAGTTTGTAGATAGGAAGGAAACGGAGATTAAGGAGATACTGAAGCGGAAGCACAGCCAGAATAATCAGGACAGCAAGAGAACGCATCATAGCGGCAGCCCTAGCGACGACGGCGGCGGCGGTTCCCACGCTTAGCTCGCCGGCTTGATTGATTAACTTTATTAGTTGTAATTTTGTTGAGGACGGCGTGGCGGCCGGCGAGGGGTAAAAAAGGAAAAGACAGTGGATAAATGGAGTTTGTTTATTTAGGTAGGGTATAGAAAGAATATCTGTAGTCTGTGTAGAAAGCATTTTGTAATTTACAATAATGGGTAAAAGAAAAGGAAAATAAAAATAACAGTTAGATACTTATTACTTGGATAGAATCATGATTTGCAGTTTGCACACGAGAAGTGTTGGGCCGCATAGTTGAGCGTACTTGGACCTCGGGCCCAAGAGGGACAGGTCAGCAAATAAGGCTCAATAAGGGAGCCTGGTCCAACCAGAAAGACCGGGTCAGTAGGCGGTCCTTGACCGACTCTAGGCCCGAAAAATAGCTAGGGGCGCCTGACATAAAGCGACTGGCTAATACAGAAAAGTAAAGATCCGTTGAGATACGTATTCTGTGTCAGGTAAGACTAAGCATTTATTGCCGGCCACAGGCGGCCTGCAAAAAGGCTAAAAGCCTGGCGCGCCTGACACGGCTCAGGATGGCCGACATGGCATTTAATGCCTCAACCACCCTCAAACAAGGTATAAATACAGAGTGGGTGCATTAATGGTAAACTCAACTACTCTCTATCATAAATATATCTCTCCTCCCCTTCTCTCTCTAACTTAAGCTTCAGAGGGTGTCCCGGGCGACCGCCCCGGACCCTTGTTTTGCAGAGTATCTGAGGCGCTCCCTCTATCCAAGAACAGACGCCTCGCCCCAGCTCCACAAACCGCCTAGTATTTACTAGGTACAAACAATTTGGTGCCCACCGTGGGGCAGGAGCGAAGCGCTGAAGAAAGGATGGATGGGAACTTTAGAACTCCGGTGAAGGACGTGATCGGCGGGGAAAGCATCAGAGGGTTAGAAATGCCGACAGTCGAGGAGGAAAAAGATATGGAGGAGCGTGTGAGAGATCAAGGGCAGCAAATCACCAGCATGCAAGAGAGCTTGAGCCAGATCCTCACTATGCTCAAAACCAGGGACGAGCCAGAAGGTTCTAAAAGGCGAAGTGACAAGGGCAAAGGTGTTGAAGGAGAGATTCCCCCCAGCCCTGCTCAGACAGGAGGCGGGGAATCCGACGGAGAAGAAGACGCCGAAGGCGCCCACCTCGAGGAGCATTTGCGGCCCTGCTACGGAAAGCCCAAGGGGTACAACGTGTTGCACAACCCCTTGGCGAAGAGTTTGTTCAAGACCCAAGTGCCATCAAACTTCTCGTTACTCCGGCTCCCTGCCTACACGGGAAACTCAGATCCATCGGATCACTTGAGTGCTTTCAAGCTCAAGATGCAGTTGATAAACGCTTCATCAAGATGCAGTTGATAAACGGGGGGCAATGCAGGAGCTGGTACGAGTCTCTACCAGCGGGGATAATCGAGAACTTCGAGCAGTTCGCCACCCTCTTTTCGTTAAAATTTGCATCCCAGCGGAGGAGGCAGCTCACTGTCTCGGCGCTCATCAACTGCAAGCAAGGAGAGGAGGAGGCGTTAGCAGACTTCTACGATCGATGGAACACAATAGCGTGCGAGGTTCAGGACGTCTCAACCAGCGTGGCCACTGGAAACCTAAGAATGTCAACACACAGCCGGGAGCTAAAGAGGGCCTCATCAAGAAGGAACATGCATTAAGTCCTGGCAAGATCTGGACCGCGTGGTGTGATAGGCCATTTTCTTGGAGGAAGCACTTAACGCTGAAGAAAACGCAAAGGGGGCACACGGCCCGTCGAGCAAAGCGGAGAAATGAAGAAACTGGTCACCAAAACGAAGAGGGCGTACGCCCGAGAGACGCGGCTACAAGTCCAGATTCAACAACAGAGATGGGAGGCGCGAGGTGTTCACCTCGGAGAAAGAAGAGGATGGACGCCATGAAGGGGGCAAGACCAGAGAGGCGCGTCCCAGACAAAGGAGAGAGGACTACCAAAAGTGGTGCGACTGGCACCAACTGCCCACCCATGATACCACAGAGTGTCGAGAGTTCAAAGCTAGTCTCAAGTACCTGGCCCCCGGGGACTTGAAAAGCCGCCTAGACACACGGGCGCATCCCAAGGAGAGGGCGGGGGAAAGAGACAGATCGCCAAGCCCAAGAAGAAGATCCCGCACGCCTAGACGTCGGAGATCCAGGTCGCCAAGGAGGGAACGAACACCCCATCGGGAGCGCTTGCCTCCGCCCCCAAGGCACGCTCCCCCTCCCCGCCATCACGCGCGCGAGGAGGAGGAGGGTGTCGAAGTCATCACCATCGCCGGGGGGCATAAACACCCTCGAACAGAGGGAGACCGCTTGGTGCAATGCATGAATGTTCACAGAAAAGAGCAAGTCGAGATCAGTTTCGCGCCTTCAGAGCTAGCGCCCGAAGAGTGCGGAGAAGACCCCCTGGTCATGTCGTTCTGGACGAAGAAATTCAAAGTTACCAGGGCCTTAGTCGACAATGGAAGCTCGGCAGACATTCTGTTTTACTCCACGCTCAAAAGCATGAAGAAGGGGATACAAGACCTCAAGCCATCCTCAACCAGTCTGGTGGGATTCTCAGGCTCTAAGGTCAGAGTTCTAGGCTCCATCACTCTCCAGGTGACAATCGGAGAGCCGGAGGCGACAAAAACACGCCTCATGGATTTCCATGTAGCGGACTGCCCATCCGCCTACAACGCTATCTTAGGGCGCGGTTTCTTGTCGACCTTCTCAGCAATTTCCTCCACCTGCCATCAGATGCTTAAATTCCCCACCAAAGGCAAGATAGAACGCGTCCTTGGAGACTCCCAACAAGCCAAGGAAATGTTACCAAGCCACCATTAGGAACCTGGAGGTCGATCAAGTTGACGCGCGTGGAAGCCACCCGCTTCCTGAGGCGGACGAAGAAGACGTAGCGGTGGTCTTGGACGATGAAGAGTCGGAGAAGAAGGTTAGAATCGCGGCCCACCTTGCGAAGAAACAGGCGCGAGAACTCTTATCCCTCCTGAGGGAATTCAAAAATTTGTTTGCCTGGACGTCAGAAGACATGTCGGGCGTCCCGAGGAAGCTTGCGGAACACTCCCTGTCGGTAAAAGGCAAGGCACGACTAGTGCAGCAAAGAAGGAGGAACGCCTCACTCGAGAAGCAAATGGCGTTGGAGGAGGAAGTGAAGCGCTTGCTAAAGGCAGGCTTCATCAGAGAAGTGAAATACCCAACTTGGCTAGCAAACCCGGTTTTCATGCGCAAGGCGTCCGGGTTGTGGCGGATGTGCATAGACTTCACAAGCTTCAATGCGGCCTATCCCAAGGACGCATATCCCCTCCCCCGGATTGATCAGCTGATCGATGCAACCGCGAATCATGAAACCTTGAGCTTCCTGGACATGTTTTCAGGCTACCACCAGATACGCCTGTCGGAGGAGGACCAAGAGAAGACAGTGTTCATGACACACATGGGAAACTTTTGCTACACGGTCATGCCTTTCGGTCTGAAGAACGCGGGAGGGACGTACCAAAGGATGATCGATACGGTGTTTCAGAAGCAGCTGGGCAGAAATGTGGAAGCCTACGTCGACGAAGTCCTGGTCAAAAGCAAGAAGGGAGCAGACCACTTGGCCGACCTAAGAGAAACATTCGAGACGCTAAGAAGGGAGCGCCTCCGGTTGAATCCGCTAAAGTGCGTATTTGGGGCCGAGGCGGGGAATTTCTTAGGCTTCATGATCACCAACAGGGGCATCGAAGCAAATCCAAAGCAGATTAAAGCAATACTCAGCCTGAAACCGCCACGCACGGTGAAATAGATCCAGGCATTCAACGGGAAGATGGCCGCTTTGAGCCGCTTCATCCCAAGATCGGCGGACAAGTGCTCCCCATTTTTCCAGATGTTAAAGAAGTCCGGCTCACGGTCGCAATGGGGTCCCGAATGCGACAAGGCTTTCTTTCAGTTGACGAAGCAGCTGGCCTCCCCTCACGTCTTAAGCGCCCCTGTTCAGGCGGAGCCTTTGTATTTGTATCTGGCGGTCTCGGACAAGGCTGTCAGCTCAGCCCTGGTGAGGAGAGATGTTGATGGCACAGACCATTCCGTAGACTATGTCAGTAAAGCACTCCTCCCAGCAGAAAGGCGCTACATGCCGATAGAGAAGGCGGTTCTAGTGGTCATCTCCGCAGCAAGAAAGCTGCGTCCTTACTTCTAGGGGCATCCAATTACTGTTCTCTCAAACTTGCCTTTAAAAAAGATTCTCAGAAGTCTGGACGCCTCTGGAAGAATGACTAAGTGGGCGGTCGAGCTAAGTGAGTACGATATCTCATACGCCCCACGTCCCTCCATAAAGGGCCAGGTGCTGGCCGACTTTGTAGCAGAAGGCTTTAGCCTCGATGTCACAACGACGGAGGGGCAAAGCGAGACGTGGCGCTTGTTCGTGGACGGTGCCGCAGGAAAAGGCAGAGCAGGCGCAGACATTGTCCTCGAGTCACCGCGGGGATTCATACATGAGTTTTTTCACATATTCCAAGAGCTAAAAACCAACAATGTAGCAGAGTACGAGGCCCTCCTGAACGGTCTCAGAATCGTCATGGGAATGGGCGCCATGCGCCTCCATATCTGCTCGGACTCCCTGCTGGTAGTCAACCAAGTCTTGGAAAATTACGAGGCCAAGGAAGAGGCACTGGAAAAGTTAGCCGATGAAGTGAGGGGCGTCCTCTCTCAGCTGGAAGAATGGAAGTTGGAGCACGTCAAGCGGGAAGATAATCACCACGTGGACGCCTTGTCCAAGCTAGCAACCGCAATGGATTTCGAAGGTGATCGGCAAGTCACTATCACAAAGGAAACCCAACCCAGCTGTGGGGTCATGGCCGTCGAAGAAGGAAGGGAAGATTGGCGTTCCCCCATAATCGAGTACTTGCAGAGGGACACGCTGCCAAGTGATGAAACCCAGGCAAAGCTAATCAAGCGGAAGGCGGCTCACTATAGCATGGTAGGAGAACAACTGCACAGGAGGTCCTTCTCCGGCGCGTACCTGAAATGTTTAGGTCCTACTGAGGCAGAATGGATAGTCAGAGAGATACATCAAGGCACGTGCGCTTCGCACGCCGACCCAAGGAGCCTCGAGAAACAATCCTGTTGCAAGGATACTACTGGCCAACCGTAAAGAAGGATGCTGAGAAGGCGGTCCGTGGATGTCACGAGTGCCAAGTTCACGCCAACAAATAACACCTACCCAGTACAGAGCTGAAGAG